AGATTTGTTGTCTTCTGGCTATTGGTGTAGGTGCATCCATAGGATGGTGCAGACTTGTTTTTCAAATCTTTTTATCAAAAGTAGTCTTGTCTTATCTATTTAGCACAACTTTTGATAATCTGATTAATGCTTTTTTTGTCTTTTTCTCAACGTTCATTTTGATGTATATGAACATTTGTAGTGATTGTTCGACACAAGATAGATAAGTATATAACAAGTATGTTTACTTCTTTTTAATTAATCTTTTAAGTCTTTTAATTATTTGTTTAAGTTTCGTAATGTTTTTGTGTCTACTAGATTTCTTGTTTTTGATTAATGGTTTTGTGATTTGTTTTGACATGGTAATTATGTCTCGGTTTTTTAGAGGAAGAACATTCCGTGAATATCTTTCTTATTACCTACTATTGATCTGATCGAATTTTGGTGTGCGATCAGTTCATCAGATATCCTATTTGTTGTTTTTGAACATTAAGCACTAAATGACATTTAATGCTTGCTCAGATCAACAAAGTTCTTTTTCATTTCCTATCGTTAGGTAGCATTTTACGATTAAGCTATTTTCTGAAGATACTAAGCGTATCAAGATACTTCATCGTTAGACGAGGTACTTGATAAGCTCATGGTATCGTTTAGTTAAGTAAACAATTCTTTTGGTTTTGTCTCTTTTTAGATAGATAACATTTAGCTTGTTTAAGCTTTCTTTAATGTTTTGATTTTTATGTCTTTTAAGATATTTTGTCAAAGACATCGTCTCGACCTGTTATGTTTTCGAGAGCTATGTTGAAGACCTTTTTTAGGTATGATCAGCATCAGGTGTTTAGCTTCAACTCTCTTAGAAGCTTTAGACACAACATCATTTAGTCATGCGTCTAGGTGTTTTAACCTAAATGATTTTCTATTTGCTAAGAACTTAAGTGTTTTCTTAAGGTTTTCTATGTTGGGAATTTTGGTTCTAGGTTTTGTGTGTTTGGGGTTTAGGCTCTTAGTCTTTTGTTTCCACCCTTAGTTATTTGTCTTCGGCTAGTGTGTCAAGCTTTTCTTCTGATTTCCTTAGCCAGTTTTTCTATGTTCAATCCTTTTTCCTAGACGATCATCTGCATCTTTTGGGTATGTTGTTTCTAGCTTAGAGTTTTGTTCTAGTATTTCAGGCCTTTTGTTTTCTCTCTAGTTTTTCTCTATTCAGTTTTTCTAATTTAATGCATTCTATCCTAGGATTGGTCTTAGGGTTTTTTCCTTGTGTTTGGTTTTCAATGTTCTTTCTTAGTGTTTGATGTTTGTTTCCTATCTTGAGGTTGGTTTTCTAACTTGGGGCTTTCTATCCTAGTATGTTTGATGTTTGTTTTCTATCTTAAGGTTCATCAGCTTGGAGTTTTCTATCCTAGTGTGTTGGAGATGTTTATTTTCTATCTTAGTGCGTATGACCTAGTTGGTTTGCTAAGTGTTCTTCTGGTTTAGAGTTAGCTTTCCATACACAAAGACTTCTTTGTTAGTTTTCCACACATAGAGACTTCTTCGTTTCATGTTATTTAGTTAGACTTCCAAACCAAGGTTTTATTAGACGAGTTTTTCTTGTAGTGAGCTTATCGTATCCTGATAGTTGCTAATCCATCGATAAACTCGAATTACCCACGAAAAATTTAGTTATTACTAACATATTATGTATGTCAATAATATTCAATTTTCTTATGGTGGTTAAGTTATATTTAAACATTTTGGGATTTGTTTCTTAATTGCTGACAATATTCTTTGCCATTATATATAGCTAACTTTTTGTCATAATAGATGATAGTAGAGTCATAATGTAGTTTCTCTCATTTTTTTTTCAAGTATTCTTCTATTATATATTGTCCAACTTGTAGTTTTTTTTAGCTTCCATGTACTTTTCTTCGAATACTGATTGTGCTAGACTTGTAGAATTTTTTTAGCTTCAGTGTACTTTGCTTCGAATATTGATTATGCTATTGTTGCTTGTATTTGTGCCAAGGAAAAAAGTCTCAATTGAAGTGCAATAACCTTAGGTAATCTTCATGTAATCTATCATTGTTATCCAACCACTACTAGTGTAGCCCAACAATCTTGAGTTTGTCATAGTTTTGTATCATATAGCAAACTCTCTTACGATAGTAATGTACTTTTAATTGCCAAAGTTTGAGGTTTCTTGTGTCATGAACACAAGAGAACCATAAGACTCTGTTGAGGAAAAATGACTACTACTTGCTAGTGAAATAAGATTTTATTAATAGTCAAACAAGGATAGTATCAAATAAGATTTTATTAATAGTCAAATTCAAACAAGGATAGTATCAAATAAGATTTACATGAATAAAATTTTATTAATATAAATAAACATACTTACTGTTACAAATAAGGTGCTAAGTACACTTGTTTTTTCTTCGTTTTGAAAGGCCTCTAAAATGTACTTTTGCATCTTTTCACCTTTATTCCCAACTCCGGGAGTGGTAACAGGGTTAATAAATCCATAAACGTGATCAATCTTCCTCTAAATGCTCAACCAATGTAAATACCTTAAACATTAAAAGTGAATAGTGTTAGAATAACATATTAAATATATTCTCATTTGTTACTAGATGCTTTATTTGTGACTTTAGGTGGCATTTGTAACTTTATAGGAAAAAGAGATATCTTTGTTGCCAACATACTAAGTTCTTCTATAATTGTTTGTTGCGACGATTGTGGCGATTGTGGTGGTTGTGGTACTAATTCATTAACATCTTCCTCCCTATGTACTCCAATTTGGTATCCATTTTTATAAATTTATATAAAATTAGTACACAGTTACCAATAAAAACAACAAAGTGCGAAATTAAAACAATTACTTCCTTTATAATTGGTTTTGATAATCTAATTTGCCAAAGGATAAAATTCTCAAGAGCTTGCCTCACTGTCTCAACCTCCTAAGTGGGCATAGAGACTCAAGTAGTGGCTTCTCAAACATCTACAACCACCACCCTCATTATATCAATTGTGATGGTTTCATGGTGTATGGTTAACCCTAATGTATACATTTTACCTAATTTCAACAAATAATATTTGTAAAATATATTAAAGAATATAATTAAATAATCATGAAAACAATATAATTAGACAAATTACCTAAGGCCACCAAGCACTTTAGGGCATCATCATTGAACAACTTGTAGTCTGGATCAATAGTGGGAGAAGCTTGTCGAGGGGAAACATAAAACCTCCCATTTGTGCTTATACAAAGAAGAGATGATTGAGGGGGATTCTTAGGCTCTGTCTTAAGGGAGAGGCTAACTCTACTCGTACTTTTGCTGACAACTATGCTAGCCTATTAGAGTACTCCTTCTTCTGTTGTGCCTGTATATCATCATACTCCTTTTTCATCTCGCTGATCTCATCCTTTTTCTCTTGTTTGATTTGTTCTCTAATATTCTTGAGGACCTCCTCAAAGATAAGGGCTTTACTATGCTGACTTGATGAAGGACCAAAGAATTGACGGATGCCAAAATATTTTCCATAACCAATATGTCCTCATGGCCTTCTGAAGTGAAGGTACCCTGTGTGCTCTACTCCACCAAGTCATCCTACGACCAAAAATTTCAAGTTAAGTTAACCAAATTTGTGAGATCATATGTTTTTAATTTATGAAATTATAATACGCCTAGTTATGCATGTTATTTCGTCATATATGTACTCTCTTGTTGGCTTCTGATGAGCTCTCTTCCATGTATTATGGCAAGGAGGATGGTTTATGATACTCATATCGGAGACCCTACTAAGATTAGAGGCAACAACCTCTTTCATTATTTTCTACTCCAATTTCTCATAACCTCCACCAGGCAATATATCGGGGTGGAGATTAGTCTTTTTTATCTTCTAGGAAACTCTCCTCTTAGCCTATGAATAAAAGGTATCCAACATAGTGATGACCGACAACCTCAAAACTGCTAGAGCGGAGAAGGAAGAAAAAGAAAAACGCAACAGAGTAAAGAAGAAAATCAACATGGTTTTGCATATTTTGGCTTTTTAAACAGGATATTCAACGGTGGTTTTGTAGTACAATAATCATTTTCCATCCTATCACCACCTTTAGTAATTGTTTTATAATATAATCGTCATTGTTTCCTTTCTATATTGATTTTTGACCATGGTTTTGTATTTCAATTGTCATTGTTTTCCAAAGAAAAATATCTTTTTAACAACTTTTTTTGACAATTTTTTTACAACAACCTATGTGGCAGTTTGTGATTGGTCTGTTTCAAATATACATATCAATAAAATAATGACATAGTCTATTGTCAAAAAGTTGTTAAAAAAAGTTGTTAACATATCATAGTCCTTTTGCAAATTTTGAATATTTGGCGACTTTTTTCTTTCTAAATGTCATTAAAAAAGTTTAATTTAATTATAACATTGCCAATGCATCTTACTTATGATGGTTACGGTCAATTGTTGTCATAGACTTTTACTTTCTAAGGTGACTTTTAACTAAGACTAAATATAGTTGAAGATAAAGTAATGATTCTTTAACACACCTATATTTTTTACATTCATTTGACACTATCCTTGTTCACTTTTTCCTCTTTTCTTTCTTGAAATAATACAAAAGTTTACACTTTTATGATTATTTTACCCTTGTAGTCTGTGTCAAATAAATGTAAAAGTGTGTCATGGTACCATTACTCTTGTGGATAGAGTAATGATTCTTTGACACACCTATAGTTTTTACATTCATTTGACACTATCCTTGTTCACTTTTTCCTCTCTTCTTTCTTGAAACAATACAAAAGTTTACACTTTTATGACTATTTTACCCTTGTAGTCTGTGTCAAATGAATGTAAAAGTGTATCATGGAACCATTACTCTTGTGGATAGAATAATGATTCTTTGACACACCTACATTTTTTACATTTGACACTATCCTTGTTCACTCTTTCCTCTCTTCTTTCTTGACACAATACAAAAGTTGATATATATAGGGTTTCTAAATATAGTTACTAAATGTCAGGGTTTAATGCTTCTATGGACATCTACATTGCCTGTACCTTCAGCTATTGGTTCGGCCTTTGCGGCCATAGTCTTCCTTGGAATTGGAAAAAGTGGTCAAAAGCTTTCAGAAAATTTCCTCGAGTATCAGTTTGAAGAAAAAATTAAACCAAAGAAACAAGGGGGAAAAGATGGAAGCACACAAGACAGAAATGAGAGAAGCCTCGGACACACAATTTTTGTTAATATCTGGTTGTTCTTTCCACTGGTTGTTGGATATATCATAACAGTTTGCCTTGATTTCGTCTTCTATGATGCAACACTCGAGGAACTATTCAGATTTTCTGCACTTCTCATGGGAGCGACTCATCTGTTGTTCCTCATCGGTTCTTTGGGTTATAGCCGCCAAGAATTACCCGTGGAAAGCGATCTAAGCAAGATCCATAGAATCTTCATCACAGCTTTACGGAAACTGAGTTTAAAATATCCAACCTCATCGAATTCTTATTACTGGAAGGGCTACAAGCAGCAACACACGTATAATCATGGTGAAGGAGTAAGGTTATTGCCACGAGTTCCACGGCTATTCAGGTGGTTGGACAAAGCGGCCATAGTTAAATCAGAAGAAGAAGAAGATTCAAGACATCATAGAGAGAGTATTGATACGCAAGAAAAGAAAAAGAAGATTTGCACTGTGAAGGACGTGAGAGATGTCAAAAGCCTTGTTCATATAATTTACCTTGGCCTTACCATCTTTCCTTATAGTTTACTCATTGCCTCTGGGGACACTTTCTTTGTTGCCCAAGCAAGTGAGTTGAAACCAGTTATGAATAAAAGAGGTAACGATATCTCTATTCTATTCTTGATCCAATCCGTGGCGACTGACATGTCAGAGTTTACTTGTTTTCTCATCAGTCTTCCCTTTCGAAAGAAACAAAAATCAAGAGTAGCGAGATTCATTTGGGAAAGAAAAGCAGCGACAATCATGAGGATTGGATTTGGCATTACGTGTGCAGTAATATGCGGCATCATAGCATGGCAAGTGGAGATTCGCAGGTTGTCGTCAAAGTTGAAAACCACAGTGGCTTTGGTTCCGCAATTTGTGTTACTAGGAATGACAGAGGGACTTGTTGATGGGGGAATAGAAAGATTATTCGATGACCATGTAGCGAAATCGTTGTCGAATTTTGAGGATTCGTTTAGTGAGTTGATGGTTGGTGGTGGAAAACTTCTGATTATACCAATTGTGTGGATTTTCAGCGGGTGGATCAAGGAAACAATCGACACTAGCCATTTGGACAGGTATTATCTGATGTTGGCGATAATGAACGCTGTGCTGCTTCTAGCTTTTGCGTACTACTCCGTTACCTATGCATACAAGGAAGTGTGTCCCGAAGATGAGAAGGTGACCACAGAGGAAAGAGTGGATCACTCACATCAACCAGACTCAGAAGACACCTATCAGGAAAATACTCGCCCATTGAAAATGGGAAAGAGTGGATCATTCCCATAACAATTGTAGTGTTCGGGAAAATACTTTTTGTTTTCTAATGTAATATTAGTTATCACAAGTGAATGTTCACTTTATTGAAAATGTCATCGACCAAAACACCTTATTCATCTCTGTCCACAAGGGAATCAAAGTACACAAATGAATTGTCGTCTATTTCATGATTGAATCCTCGATGATAAGGAAAAAATATTAGTTGTATATCATTGTCGTCTTGGACATTCCTCATTTCTTGTTATAAAACTTTTGTTTTATTTGTTTATGGATTTGAATTTGAATATACAAAATCTTGTTTATGAGGCTTTTGAATTGACGAAATGCAAAAGCATTCTATCTTTTCCTACTTGCAATAATCTTTTATATATGGTTGATAGTGACGTGTGAGGTCCTTCTAATGTTTCAAATATTTCATATTTTAGGAGCTAAATGTTGCAAACCTGAAGTTAGTTTTATTGTTATGAAATTTGTTTCGATATATTAAAAATCAATTTGGGGTTGTTATCAAGAAGTTTAGGTATGATAATGCTAAGGATTATTTTAAACACTAGACTCTTTTTCAAAACGAAGGTATAATTAATGAATTTTCATGATACTCGAACCAAATGGAGTTAGTTGAATGAAAAAATGAACTTCTTTTAGAACAAATAAGAGCACTCGTCTTTCAAAACAATGTTCCGAAAATATTTTGAAGAAGTCATTGTCAATCACTACACAAAAAACATATTACCAACTGTGAAAATTTGTTAGAAACATTAAAAATCCGACTTAACTCACTACAAAAAAAAAGTTATTTAGAGGAGGTTTTTTTTTCGATTTGTGGGGGTTTTCACCCTCCGCAAAATAAATTTCGGGGGTTTTTCAAACCGCCGCAGTTTGAGTCGCCACAAACTATCTGCGGGGGTTTTTTGCGACCCCTGGTATCGCGTTCAATTTGCGGAGGTTTTTCTGCGGAGGGTAAAAACCTCCTCTATTACTGACTATTAATTTGTGGGGGGTTTTAACCTCCTTTATTTTCAACTATTTGATCACAAAAGTTTTCTATATTTTTTGTCAGTTTTTTTATTTGATGATTATTAAAATATATAAAATCGTTTTTTGTTTAATAATTATTAAAATATATAATAACTACCTATTTTCACCAATTTCTTTCTTTTCTTCTTTTTTTT